AATGTTAAAACACTAACAGCACAAGGCTGAGGGATGCCCCACAACTGAAAGAGTCTGCTTCAAACAATAGAGATTAGTCTTTTCTGTTTTTAAGCTCAGCATTCTGCACCCAGCTGGGGTACTGTTCACACTAGAGACCATTCCACCTGAGCCACAGATGTGGAGTTCTCATTTTTCAGGTTGAGAAAGTGGGAAAAGGCACCAGGTTTTCCTGCGTATGATCTGCTTCAATGTAGGTTTTTCAAACACCTTCTCATAAAAGCTTTGTTGCTTGTGATTCTGTCACAATATGAGACATCAAATGAGTCTACTCACCCCCAGCCATCTCGCTCCCTTGTTGGCCGCCTGCTGAATCTGGACCCTCTTCAGTGTCACATTGTAGACGGCGCCTTCCTCGACTTCCTCCCCCCAGTCCTGCACTGAGCTCTGTGAGAAGAGAGAGAAAATGTTAAAAACCTCAAGAAGAGAGGAGAGGAAAGTTGCTTTTAGGCTAAAAACATATAACAATTTCTTATAAATAACTGTAGGCTGCAGCATTAACTTCCACAACAAGTGTAATTCTGATAGTTTAACAAAACAGGAATTTAATTTAAAAAAACTCTGAGAAAAGCAGAAGGAAGGATGAGACAAAAACACAACTGCAGCACTCAAGCAAACTAGGAGGACTGAAGTCCAGTACAACATCAAGAATGACCAACTCCCCAACCCCCACCACTGTTGCCTGCCAGGCCTCCCTTTCGCCCTGTCTTTACTCTCTACTTTATTCCCTATTCATCTCTTTCACTCTGCCCTGTCTACTGTAGCTGAAGTCAGAGCTGGACTGATTTCCTGGATCTCAGAAAAGCTGGAGATAAGAGCCAGAAGGGATGAAGTTTCTCAGACAAACCACTATGTAGTAAAATCTGCAGCACCTTTTCTATCTGTTGATATGTCTTTGACTGCCTAATTGTACAAGCCAGGACAGCCTGATTACAAATCCCAAGAACACAACTATACTTAAATGAACTCACAGGACTAAATAGACTGTGTTCATTTTGCCTCTATGCGCTGTGCTGACACATCAACACAGGGACACAGAGACAGCAACAGAGGTAGGGAAATAGTAAAGGAGAAGGATTGGCCAACACCATATGTGCAGAATTATGGCCAGGTCTGTGCACACACAGCAGCCAAGCTCACTCTCACTTGTTCTCATTTTCATTTATATACCATATAGCCAAAGTCCATCCTCTTCCACAAACAGAGAAGATGCAGAAATGAGGCCAAGGGTCAAAGTGGTCATTAACAGGCTCAATGGCCGGTCCTGGAGGCTCTGTGGCACTCAGCCGTGTTGGGGTTTAAACAGAACCATTGAGATGCAGCAGTGGAAAAAAAGTCTCCAAACAGAAAACACAAAGCAAGCAGAGAGGAGGAGAGAAGGAGACTTGAACTAGCTTTGGGAGTTGTTGAAATGATACCGAGCAGTAAGCATTTCTCTGTTGTTGCAAGCTGCATTTGTCTAAAACATGTCTGCATGTCCATCCCAGTAACCCCTGTTCAACATCTCATATTTTGGTCAGTAACATGTCTCTCTCTCCCTCTGTCCTCAGCTGCTGTTGGCTGCCGGCTGTCTGGCCCAGAGACAAATAAATACATCAGTGCATGAGTCATTCAGTCCACACACTCCCAAAACAATAGCGGGAGATCTGTGTGCTGGCCGGCCTCAGCTGCTGAGTTCACAGCCTGCACACATAGCCTGCTTTTTGTCAGCCACAGAGCTGGAGATGTTTTTCAAAGTAGGGTAAAAAAAAAAAAAAAGAAAAAGGAGCAAAGTAGCTCTGCTTTGTGTACCAAGATTAGGGCTTAATGTAAGGCAAAGTTCCATGAGCTTGCATGAAAATGAAAAGCAAAACAGTGTGTCAAAGTAATATTCCTATTCACCAGAGGGCAAAAGATACAGTATAAGTAATACAGGCCTATCAAAAACATTACAGAGGAGGAAGGCAATAAGCTTACGGAGCACACAGCAAATCAAATGAGGCTGTGTGAGGTGAGTTGTTTATTCGCTGAAATAACATGGATCCTTTCACATAAGATGCTAAAAAGTGCACAGGGAGGACGCCAAGGATAGCAGAGAGGAAAACAGTACCCTATCTCTGCTCAAATGGTGCAGCTCTGCCTTTCAGCTGTGTGAGAAACAGTACTCCCAAGATAACAACAATAACAATTGTGTTACATCTCTGACGCTGTTGGCTTTTGTACTTTCTTCGCCTTTACGCAGCTGGGACCCGTAAAGAACCAGCAATGGCCCCGGGGCCTCTCCAATTGTTCCGTCTCTGTTTCACTGCTACGGTCCCGAGACAAATGTTTTCATATCCATCATCATCAGGGAGGGGAATGTTAGCGGATCGAGTTCACCGGCAGGGGATTTTTATTATTATCACTATTTTATGCCCTCGATCCCACGTTTCCAAACTTTGCGCGACATCTTTACGCACCGGCAATGTAGGCTAAACTAGATTTAAAGCCTGGTAAAAAAAAAAATTTTTTTAACTATTCTTCTCCTCCTCCTCTTTCCCACTTTATCCGCTACTTTCCCAAGGCTGCAAATACTCCCTCCTTTCTCCCCCCGCTCCCCCTCCTTACCCCCCATAAATCAAAACCACAAACTAAACAACAGCACGCAGTATGGAAACCATGAGGATTTTTATACCATTTTAGTTTTCCAGGCGAACTTCATGGTGAGCTTTTCTTTCATGGTTCGAGAGCAGCATCAGAGCTGGGAGATAATCCGCCAAGGCAAGAAGAAGACGCGTTCCTTTTCATTTAGAAAGAAATCCCAGATCCTTGCTAAGGAAATCTTGTCTTCCGTCACACGTACTTTTGTCCACTGCTCGCTCTCCAAACTCCAAATCCTCCTGCTCCGTCTGTCAGTAGGGTCTTCTACTGAATGGCTGAACCCCCTCCTTCTCGCACTCACAGCCCAGTTTTAACTCCTCCTCTTCTTTTTGTCTGACTTTCATCAGACTAACTACGTATGTGCCCAGACGCAGGGTTGTGATTTCTGACTGCACGATACACAGAATCTGTTTCCTGGGAAATTCATAGAGCAAATAACTGATTTGATCGTTTGTTTCAAGGTGCTTGTCTGTGCATTGCTTTTAAGTATACGAGTGATATATGATGCAGCCGATGATTTTACTAAATAAACATGTTTAACATCTTACGGTGAGATTGCTGCAAAAAAACATTTATTTATTTACTTATGTATGTATATATGTATTTTAAAAGGTAAAATAGGCATAAATCCAGTTTGAAAGCTTATTATACATTTATTGATTATTTATTTATTTTGATTTCTTGGATATAGGCTTTTTTGTACTGTATGGGAGTTGTCTGATGATGATCACTAACTTCCTGATGTTTTTAGAAACTCTTCCTTTTGTTGTATGCCTTAGCCAGCTTTAGTTTTATTTATAGTTTTGTTATAGTCTGCTATATTTTCCTGGGAAATCTCTTTTTGTTTCCCCAGAATTGTCTTTTACTAAGCGGGGGAATGGTAACACATGAAGGGAATCTTACTATAAAGAGACTGACTTCAGGAGCTACCTACTGTACTTATTTGACTACCTAAGACCACTGATGCCTCACAATTGCTTCAGCTGAAATGTAAAATGCAGTTTTGTCCAGAAATAGAACTTTGCATTGTGTCCCCCACTAATTTCATGTTAAGAAGTGATCTCTTCAAGATCTGTAATATAACCCTTTAGTTTCCTGGTTTTAGTTTACTAGCTGGTTTATGTACCTGTATATATCAGTGGTAATTAACAAATAGATTGTGTAATGTTTAAGAATAACAAACAGCTTCCATGTGAGTGGATGACGTAATGAGCTATAGGCCCTATAGCTGTCTTGTGTGCGAAGCAGCTGTGGCCACCCAGTCTCTGCGTGGGACAATACAAGGAAGGCTGTAGATGGCGTCACCAGTACTGTGCATTGTCAGTGGCGGGAGAGGAGAATAGGCTGAGTGTGTCAGAATGGGCACCACTGTTCCACTGTGAATGTGCCTGCACACGTATTCAGACAGCCAAGTTGTGTGAACAAAAAGGAAGATATGAATCAAGCATCAAATTTGTGAGTGGCCTTAGTGTACAAAGTTGTATTGTAAACATATTGACTGTGAGCAAGCAGTGGTTCATACATTTACAAATCCAGCTTTCTTGTGACCAAATGTCAAATTACTGATCCAGAGTCATGAGAACTGGCAGGAGGAGACAGTGAGAACCTTACAAAACTTACTGTTATCTGGAGAGTTGGCTAGACCTCCTTCTTGCGTATATGTGCGTGTGTGTGTGCCTGGTATTCCTCACACTGTGGGGGCCAAAATGTGTTTACACACTCACATTGTGGACTCTTGGGTTTGTAGAATTTCAGAGTGACGACTTTGTTAAGGTTAGGCATGTAGTGGTTCTGATTCCATTTAGGGTAAGTCTCCAGAAAATGAATGTAAGTCGATGAAAAGTCCCCACGAGTAATGAAAACAAATGTGTGTGTGTAAGATGTGCCTGCTGACTCTCTGACTCTCAATACACCAACATGTAACCCCAGCATCACACAGCGTCACTCAGCAAGCAGCGCGCACAGATGCATCTACACACACACACACACACACACACAAGGCACCACCTTTGGCATCACTACTCCCTCCCAGCTTGCTTGAGGTGTACCAAAAGGCCAGGGAATCCCAGTGTATGTTTTAGCCAGAGTTTCAATGTGTCTTGTAATCAAACAGTAGGGTTTATTTATTTATTTGTTTTTGTGGACTGTTCATCATCCTACGGATCTGGCCTGGTTCCATTTCCCAAGCGGAGATTCCCCAGTATCCATGAGGGTCTCCAGAGGTCTGGGAACCCCAGAGGGGCAGTGGGAAGGTTGTGACCTCACATGACCTGCAGCTCAGTCCTCGGGGGATTGGAGTGTTGGTCTCACAGTGGGAATGATGTCATACCTCAGTGCAAACAAGTCGTTTGACAAATATGACAGCTGCAGCACCATATGATCGATGAGTAGATGCGCACTGTCAACGCGAGGTGAAAATGGGACATTTATTCTCTTACTCTGCGGTCCAGGTCCACTGAAGTAATATTTGAAAGCTAATATTTTATAAAAGCCTGTCAGTAGTTTAAGGCTCTATAGAGAAACAGGCCAGTTTTCAATTGTTTTCAGTTTTTAGATATTTTAGTCCAGATATGACTTGAGTCCCAAGTCCTTTGCATAAATCCAAGTTAAAGGGATGTTCGGGAAATACATATATTCACCTTTTTTGCCCAGAGTTTGATGAGAAAGTTGATACAATTCTCACTCCTGAACAATAAATATGAAACTACAGCCCATAAACTCATAACTCTCCATAAAACCACAGTGTCGTTTTTACACTTTAGCTTCTC